TGGAGGTCTGTGTGTGGCCGATGACCACGCCGATGGCCACGCGGGACAGCTCATAGCTCAGGTGCGTGTTCCTGCGCACCAGCTCGATCAGTTCAGCACCTATCGTCTTGGGCACAGACACCGCCAGAGCACCAGGCTCCGGTGCCACCGGCTCCACAGCCTTCTTATCCTCCAAGCAGAGGGTGCTGAAGGCATCCAGGCCCGCAGCGGGGGCCGTGGCAGCTTTCTTCACCTGAGCAGCCTTCTCCCCATCCACAGCGTGGGACCTGTGGGACCCCCCCTCAGCCGGCGGTGCCGGGGCAGCCCTCTTGGACTGGGGGGATTTGCTGGTGCCGTCCTTGGTGGAGGTCCCGTGGCGGGAGGGGGGCACCGAGCCGGGGTCCCGGGTGCGGGTGGTGGTGTGGACACTGCGGCTGGGCACGGGCGGCGGGGTGTTGGCAGGGCTGGAGGCGGCCGTGGGCAGCGCGGTCTCTGACACAGAAGAAGCGGTGTACAAGGTATCCAGGGACATGGTGCTCATGGAGGAGGCACTCGAAGCTGACCCAGAGATAATTTCAACAGCATCTGAAAGGAAACAATTAAAACCGCCTTAGCAACAGCATCAAAGGAACAGGGAAAACACACATTGCTACAGTGCAGTCCATTAAATGGCTCATTGTGCATGGGCCAGAGCAGTTTAACTCCTCTTCCTGCCTCACTTATCTCAAAGCAAAACTGTACCAGTTCTTTCTGGAGCATTCCCACACAATCACCTCTTTAGAAAGGGGAAAAGTGCTCTATTGAGATGAATATCCTTCAAAGGGCTTCCTGTTTTATGCAGGGGAAGGGAGGGAGGGACCCGACTAAGGGACAGAAAAGTCTTTTCCTCCTGGCTTAGCACGGGCCTGTTCCTGTGCTCAGTATCTCAGCCCTCGCTTTTGAATGATGGTGCCCAGGAGCTGCAAGACCCAGAAGGTTTCCCACAGACCTCCCTGACCACGACCACAGCTAGCACGGATGGGGAAGGGAACATCTCCTGACAACACCTCTGGTCTCTCCCTCTCATCAACTCTCCAGCATCTGATCGTGAGCCCTGCTAGCAATCACCGCTTTCAATAGCCTCCACCTTATCTGCTCAAGCGTGTTTCTCCCAGCTCAAGTCCTGAGCAGCTCCAGCAGTGGTACCTGCCCTACCTTCCAACGGAAAAGATCCACTACAAGCAAAGGGATTCCAAGAGTTTTCTTTCCTTTAACCTGGTCTAATACGTAATTTTAGTAAACTTTATCCATTGGTTTCCAGGGGGCAGAAATGTATCCGAGTCCTTCCCTAAGAAAACAGTTACGTGGGCAACTGCACTGACAGTGGAGAAGCTCATGCCCCAGCCCTGTGGTCCTGCTCTCAAGTGCTCCTGACTGTATGCTCCCTGCCTGTAGGCAGTACATTAGCAGCTGTGTCCCTGATATTAGTGCTGCTCCTCACTGGCACCAGCCACTGATTTAATGGAAATCCTACCTGAGCACTGCAGGAAGAAAGTGCCCCACAGACTGGGAGTCAAAAGCAAAGCTTGAGCCTGTTCTAAAAGCGCTGCCCATGAGCTCCCCAGGTAAGCTGCCACGCTGCACTGCCAGGGAAAGGCCTCTGCCTGGCTGGGAGATGACCATGGCGGCTGTGGGAGAAAAACACCCACAAGGACCTTAAACTACCATGGCTGTGTGCTGGCCACGCCAGCCATGTGAGCAGGCAGATGTTCCACAGGGTAGAAGCACCAGAGCACCAGGATGATGCACCCATCCACAGGCACCGGACTGCCCAGACTGTCCCAGAGCAGAGAGGGTTTGAAGGAGCACTGGCCACCAGCTCATGGTTCATTAGCATCAAAACCTATAGGGGTTTAGGAGATATGTGTGTATATATACGTAAGGATATAAACCCTATAGGAATTAAGGAGATATATATATATATGGATGCTCTTCTAAGCACCCAGCAAAAGCACCCAGGTACCACGACTGCTCCATCGCCCCGTGTCCATCTGTGCCCGAGGTTCAGGAATTGGCTTGTCCTTACTCTTTCCAGGGTGAGCCTGCGCACTCCTGCGCTTCTCCGGAGGCGGGGGGGTGACGGGAGCAGTGCGCCGGGCCTGCGGCGGGATCTGTGGGGGAAGATGCAGAGCAATCAGACGAGGGTGGCAATAGAGACGTTCTCGGTTATGAAACCTCCTTTTGGTGTGTGTGGATTTGTCCTTACAGCTCTCATCACTCAGGGAAGTTTTCTCAGGAGGACAGATATTAATAGGCAGCTTCCTAGAAGAACAAAGCAGGACTCAAGCTGGCTTCATCCCCTCCCTGTGACAGGCAAAGCAGCCCTTGTTTAATTGCCGTGTTCAGCAGCACGCAGCACACACGTTGTGTAGACCTGTCAAGTGTTTACTCCTCCTTTATTCCACACGCAAACCCACACACTCACTGTGCCTCCACATTCCCCTCAATAGCCCCGCAGAGGCTGTGAACAGAGCATGTATTTAGGCACTCTTCTGGAGAGATCCATTACATCAGCCACAAACACTCTTGTAGAAAGACAAAGCCAAGGACTGGAGCCCTGTAAATGCCTTTTCCATGCTTCCAGAGATATTTCTGCTCACAAAGGGAGAAAATAGGGCTAGACCCTCTGAGCAATCCTAGAGCAAGATGCGCTGGGAGAAGCTTTTGCCAGGGGGTTGTGCTAGCTCTCCACATCTGGGGTTTCTCCTGTAAGTCAAGGGGTACCAAGGTAGCAGGAATCTGCCTTCAGATGCAGATTCCTACACTCACCTTTTCCTGTGGGATGCAAACACCATGATCACCAACATCACTTTCACCCAGAACAGCTCCAGTGAGGTGTAACCTCAGGGTTAACCCTGATCAGTAACACACCCCTGCATGGAGCAGCAAAGTGAGGTGGGAGCACATGGCATCAACACTCAGGCCACCACACAGCACCAACCTTCCAGGGGTTTCAGCCCTGGAAGAGGAGTTTTGCTGAGACCAGTCAGTGCTGAACAGCCCAGTGCTGCCAGTCCCTGCAGTGAAGGACTGAGGCCCTGGAAGGTCTCTATCTGAAATAGCTCAGAACAAGGAAGATGAAAAATGTCTTTCTTTTATTCCTTGATCTGGGAAGGGCAGAAATCTCCTCTGGAATGGGAGCAAAGCTGCAAGACAGACATCTTCAGGATATCACATTCAAGATGCAACGCCAGAAGGCGACAACACTGTGTCCACAGCCCACGCCTGGACCCTGCCAGGCAAGTGAAGACACAGGAGTGCACACAGCTAACAAAGGCTATTACAAAGGGACCTCTTGGCTCCTTTCTCCCACGCAAACCCAACACACCCAACTTTTTACTGTGTCACATAACAGGCCACCTCTTTACAAGCCCCTTCAGCTGGTGGGTTAGTACGAGGTGCCACTGCAGGCGCCTGGCCTGAGCTCTCCTGCTCCTGTCAATCCACCCTGCATTGTTCTCGGGGTAAAGTGCTACATGATACGTGCATCCAACCCCAAAAATGATCCGTGTCGGTCCAAAAAGAGATTGCACAGCTGAGAGATGCCAAAACAGCTCGGGAGGGGCCTCTGCATTGCATGGCTGGAAAGAAGGCTGGTCCCAGCCCCAGGAAGCTCAGCTGTGCTCAAGGCAGAACCCTCTCTGCACAGCAAGGGGGTCACACCATGCATGGGGCTCCCGGGGCAGCAGGATTTAGCCCCGGCAGCTCCAGCCAGGCGCATGGCAGTGTTGGAGATAGCTGAGGTTGGGCCATTCCGGAGCATTCCATGGCTTCACGAGCCCTGGCAAATATACCCTGCAAGTTTAACCCAGCTATTGCAGGCTGGTGCTTTTGTTAATAGCTGTGAGGCAATGTCAGCCCAGGGCTCTGCCAGCATCACTCAGCCATGTACCACAGTCCGGGCGCCACAATGAGAGCCTGAAGCATCACATGAATTTCCCTGTGCTGGTGCTGCCCAAGCTGTGAGCCCTTGCACGGTCAGGAACCACTAGGGATAACCAACGGCCACCCCCTCGCCCACCCCACATCCCAGCCAAGACATAGGGCCGAGAGAAGGATGAACAACACCAGAACCCCCCAAAGGAAGGGGAGGGAAGGAAAGAAAACATCCTCCCCCCAACAGGGAATCAGCATAGGGAATGGGCTGTAAGGAGCTCCATTCACTTCACCCACCATGCACAGGCGTGAGAACGGAGCTGCCCAGAAAGGAAAATGAAGTGAGGGAGAAAAGTGGAGTTAGCAGGGATGGGTGTGTTGTGCCTGAGCCAGAGCTACCTTTCACCTCTGCAAACTCACAGTTCTTTAAGTGTAAAACAAGTCTCATCTGGGAGTGACATTGCGTGTCACACCTCATCAGCATGCCTCTAACCACTTATCCCAGGGAGATGAAGAAAAACCACAGTGCACACGGTCAGCTGTAGGGGAAAAATATCTCTGTGCTCATCCTTGCTTGGTGCTGTTACCCCAACATCCAGCTACAACTACACACACACTGTCACCAGCCACATCAATTCATCCCCAGTTGCTGCATCCATCCTGGGCTACATGTCTGAAGCCTCACTGGCACCACACAGAGACCTTAGGACTGTGTGTCACGGAGATAAAACAACCCGCTCTAAACCATATTTCCTGCAATTCACCTTTAATTCATCATGACAAGCAACATCTGAACCAAGCAGGATCTTTGGGGGGTTTATATTTTGAGTAGTAAAAATAGGCAACCGCAGGAGATAAAATGCTGAAGAACCAAAGATCTTGTTGTGTGGACCTAACAAAGGGGAAGCAAAGCCATGCCAAGTGCTCGGGGAGCTCTGCTGCTCACCTCAAAACTGTCCTTCAAGCTCCAGGGAGCTGGCAACTCTTCTAGAAAGTTGTCAAGAGAGAGTCATGCAATGTAACGTGGATCCCATGTGTCACCGTAAAACCACAGACCCTCCAAGACCCCAAAATCATCACCAGTGTAAATGGCAGAGGGACCATTCCTGACCTCTTACAAAGGGACAGCACCAGTCTGCACTGCAGTAATCCCAGCACAAACACCTGATTTGTGCCTTGAGCTGCAAAGTCATTCTATTCAACAGGACAAGCCATGTCCTGCCACCAGAGGAACCAAGAAAGCGCCTGGGCACTGTTACCTGATAGAGACCCTCATCGTCCTCCTCCACCTCGGTGTTGGGCAGGCTGTGGTGCCGCTCGTACCCGGTCCGGCACACGCCGTTGGGCTGCCGCGCCACATCCAGGTGGTGGTCGCTGGAGGACTGTGTCATGACCATCCCCTGCGGGCTGGGGGAGTGACCTTTGCGGGACACCGTCTCCTTCCGGTGATGGATCAGCTTTCTGGAACACAGCAATGACATCAGGAACAGCAAACTGAAACGGAGTGACCTTGCTGCAACATTCAAGTGATATTTTTAATGGTTTATTGCATTTGGGCTATATATATATGTACCAGAATGGGTTACAGTACTTAAAACACCAACTCTGGTTTCATTAACAACTAAGGAAGCACTTCTGGGGGAGGAAGGAAGAGGCTTTGCCAGAGCCCATGATTTATTCATCGGTTCACTGGAGAAAAATGCCTCTTCCTCAGGGGAGAGTCACATATTGCATCGCCAGCGTCAGGAATTGTCTGCGCTTCAGACTCACTGTCCAACCGAGATTAAACCAGCATGCCCCAGCACAGCCTGAGGTGCCAGAGGAAAACAAAATGCTCCTCACAAGCAATTATCTGAGAACACATTAAGGACCTTGTGTTATATGCCAACAGCCTCTGCAATTTCTGGCTGGTAGAGAGGAGAAAACACATCCAGAAAGATTCTGTATTTCTCCTCCAAGCCCATACTGCAGCTGAGAGCTTCCTCTACACACACAGGGACAGAGGGGCCAGACCAAAGCTCTGCTTTGCTGGATGCTGTTGTCTGGAGAAGCAGCCGCGGCTGCCCGCTTTGGTCCTAC